AATTTGAATGATCTTTCAATCTTGAAATTCTGAGCTGACACCCATTCAATTGTAGATGTACTAGAAAGTCATAGTGCTTTTCACAAACGTTCCAGAATGGTAAAGTTCATCTTTATAGGGTTTAAGTAACTACAAATATAAAATGTTCAGTGAAGATGTTGCACAATGCCTGACAAATTGTTAGTCTGAACTTCTAACCAAGATTAGATCATCCAAATGATTTTTTTGGAGGTCCCAATGACTTAGAGAGTTGTGGATAATGGACTTATCTATTCATATAGAAATCTTGGAATTTTTTGATAAAGGAAATATAGGAGTTAGTACAGTTTTAATTAGTACTTCTCTGTCAGTTCTAGACAGTATGTTTTCAAGGACATTTTAGGACACCTTAATGATCTAATGGTATCTTCATATGCTAGTGAAGTTCTAGATATTTTCATGAAGTTTCTAGAATGGTATATTTTACCTCTTCTACTGTTGTATTTTAAGAGATACAAAAAAGATAAGGATCAACACTGCTGTCTTCGACTGAAGTTTGTTCATAGTTGTTTAAACGACGAGGTTTGGGAGTGTTTTTCTTGTTGTTTGTATTCCCTTATGTGGTTGTGTTGGTGCTGAGTTTTGCTTGTTATCAGGTTGTGTGCCTCCGCATCTTGCTTAGCTTTTTTGCTTGATATCGGTGAAGGCAAGTAAACATAGCGATGTGGTCTACACGTTTTAACCTTGTTACTTGAATTGCCTACAATAAATTCAGTACCTCACACTAGCCAGTTAATCTGATATTAAATCTTATGTATTGCATTTTTGTATTTGCACTCTCCCATTGATCTGCATTTGAAGAAACTGTAGCCGAATTGGTGAGGTAAGTACCGGTATAGCAACGCAAATTGACTGAGCAATGTGGTTGTAGCCCATACTTTCTTTGCTAGGATGTGTGCGTAGAAGTAAAGTCAAGCATTACATTGCATCTTGCATACTATTTATGAAGTATATTTTTCTTAAAGCAGTGGTTCCTTTTAATTAATGACTTGCTATGATATCCGTTTTATGTCTTTGATATCTAAATTGATGTTTAATCAAAGTGTGATTTGAATGACTTGGTTAAGGCATCCTCATATGTTTTTTCTTCCGAGGTACTTGAGCTTGGAGGGCGTCTTGTGGAATGGGAGTAGCAGCACGTGTACACGTCTCATGTTATACATATTTTGGGCACATGTGTTGTAGTAATAATGTTTAGAATGCTTAAGTCTTTTTTGTCGTTTCTAGATACTCTGATAATAATATTGTTCATGCTGCGTTTTTGCTTCTAATGTTTGTTTAGAAGTTGTAGCGTAGTGTGGTAATGCTCCAAAACCTATTTGTTGTGGTTGTTGTTTTTCTAGGGTGTTACACAACTAAAGGTGACAAGTATGCATTAAAGAGTAGAGCTAAAAATAACAATGCATCTTTGTGGAACTTTCTAGAGAATAGAGATGGTATTCATTAACCTTAGTCTCCATAATCCTCAATTTACTTCATCGAAGGGCTCCCTTACTAGCAAATTGAATGTTGAATCTCACTTATGCTTATCTTGGGAAATGTATGTAATGCAAACATTTAAAATTCATTTGTGCTTAAATAATATTTCTGTTCATGAGACTTATAATCTTGTTTTGTATGATTGAAGGTATCTTTGAATAATGGTTGATTTATCTATCGAGCGAGCCAGCTATAGGCCCACCAGCCATCACCAGGTTTGGATATGCAAGCTTCGTGCCAGCCAGTCCATGACCCTCCCGGCAAGTCAATAATCTTTTTCCTCTTCAAGGAAGAAGTGTCAAAGTCTGTGATCTAAGTACATGTTCTCTCAGTACCTTACAGTAGTGAATACCCTGTCTTGTTAGAAGGAGATTTTTGCTATTAGATACCCTCAAACCTTGTCAATCAGGATTTGAGTTGCTTCTTTGTAGGCGGATACTGAACTCGCTCTCTGTAGGTATCTTTGAAAATTGTAAATATCAAGAAGTTGTTAAATTAGGTAGAGAAGAATCAAGCAAATGGACATTGATTCTAACCGAGGGAGATTCGACCACATAATTTGTTGAGTGTGATGTTACCATCATTTAATTCCTGTGTGTTTTTTAGAAAATGTTAGTGTTTCTTGTAGAGATGTGGATTTTCTTATCACGAACACAATTATTATGGCATATTATGTCTCAAGGGCAATCTGCCAAATGCTCTAACAACAGGCGTTGAAATATTTCAATACAAAAATCTTGTCGATGCACTTGGACTTGATCTTGGAGTATATTACAGTAACACTAAATTTTAACATATGACCACCTAATGCTGATGATGGATCAGGTTAGGGTTGTCCTATAAATGCATTAACTTTAAATTATATTTGTTGTTTTTATCTGATATTTGTACATATGAATATATGATGACGATGGATCACATATTAAAGGACTTATAATCAATTTCTACGTGAGATATTGGCCATGTTTAATTAAGATTAATGGTTTCTTATCTCACTATTACTCCAGTGATAAAGGTATGCTACTATTTAATCACCTTCAGTTAATTGAAGTCTTGTGAAATTTATAGTTTTTATCTTTTGTTGTCCACAAGCAACATTGCCTTTTTTAGGAAACAACTTATAAGGAAACATTTGATTTCTATTCACCACTAGTGTAAAATATTTGCAGACAACAAATAGACAATTGTGCTCATTTGGATGATGTTAGAGCATCTCCATGAGGCTAGGTAAATCATTTTGTAAATGTAAATATGGCTATTATTAGCAAAAAATAGTCTCCAACAGCCTCTCCATCTCATTATCTAAATATAGCCACGAGCTATTCCATGTTTTTCGCTCGGCATACAAAGCAAGCGAGGCTCGCTCGCCAAGTCCGCGTGAATCGCGGCAGCTGGGGCACATCATGACATGCAACACTTTGAACGGCTTGCGGGCACAACTAGCCGCATGCGAGGCGGGATGCGTGGATGGATGGCAGAAGAAAGAGAGGTTGTTGTGGTGTGAACCAATAAATCCAGTTCATCTCTGTATACTTTATAATAAGCTCCGAACGGCTTGAGGGCACAACTTGCACCGTTGAGTTTGTCAATTCCTAGATTTGTTGGTTTACTCTTTTGGAGACCCTTATTGGGGTGATTATGTGTGTAAATATGTTATCTAAGCATCTGCATATACATCATTTAAAATGAACCTTTCAGAAGACATAAAATTCATTCATTCATTTGTAACTTCTAGAGTTTAGACAAAGGGTGCTTTTGGTATGCAGGATTGTTGCTTGATTCATACATATCTCATGAACTCTGTTAAATTTTACATGTAAAATAAAAAATAGAAAAACCTGTATTTCCATACAGGGTCTAAGGAAATCGTGGCGAATAAGCATTTGAAATAAGTCCAATGTTACCTCCTTCTGTCGTTCGATTTTCCTCCCTAATCTACAAAACCAGTTTTTAACCCCCTCAACTTTTGAAACCGTTCCATTTACACTGGTGGTTTTGATAGTTGTTTTGCTGATGTGACGCCACATCAAAGAGGGTAAATGAAACTAAGTTCAAAGTTCAAGGAGGTAAATTAGGCTAATTTTTTAAACAAAATATCTAAAAAATTATTTAAAAATCAAAAAATATTCAAATATATTTTTACATGAAAAATAATTCAAGTAAAAATCCTAAACCTGGTTTATTCTTGGATATTCATAGAAAATTTATTTGAGCTCAGAAAATTGTGAACTTGTTTTAGTTTTTTCTAAAATCACATGCTCTATGTTATGGTGCCTAGCTTGAAATTATTTGAATATTGATGGACTCGTTTTGGTGCTTATTTGCTAGTAGAAGCTCTTGTATATATCTATTATAATTAGTCAATATTGATCATCCAAACTACATACAAACGCTAGTAAAACATCTTCTGGACCGTAGTGGGACTGGTCCTCCACCCTAGATAAATTTTCAAAGTGGTTGTGCTAAACTGTGTGGCTGCATGCATCCTGTCGCACATATGCATGCATGCATGCATGCAATCTTTGTTTAATATATTTAGTTAAGTTTTACAAACTATTAAATTTAATTAAGTTTTAGTGCAATGAATTATGTACCATAACGTGGCAGGAAAATCTAGATGGTAGCATATGGGTCATGATATTTGTACAAATAGAATCAAGTGACATGGACAAGATATTTCAAGCTAGACACCATAGCATAGAGCATGATCTTAGAAAAAATCTAAAACTAGTTTCATAATATTCCAAGCTAAAACAAAATTTCTAAGATTAAACCATGTTTTAGGATTTTAATTTTATTATTTTTTCATGAAAAAATATATTAGCATATTTTTTTAAATGTTTCTAGTCCGAATTACTCCTCAAACTTTCGACTTAGTTTGACTTACCTCTTCTGACATTGCGCCACATCATCAAAACTTCTCAGAGGTAAAAATGAAGGTTTTCAAAAGTTGAGGGATTAAAAAACTGATTTTGTAGATAAAGAAAGAAAAAATAGGACAACCACAATAGTTGAAGGAGGTAAATTGTATTTTTTCCTTCAAATTAAATCCATTCTTGTGTCCCTGGCCCATGGTGCCAGCCCAACTCTCCCTTCTCTAAGTCTCAACTGAGTCGGCCGTGCCACCCTCTCGTCCTTGCCGGCCTACGCGCTTCGCTTCAGCATATTGCGGCCCAGCTTTTACAGCTTCTGCTCCCTCCTCTTATGGGCCGGGCTTGCCAAGCCTATTGCTGCAGGGCGCTTCTCTTCACCCTCCGCAACTGACCCAGCGCACCCAGTCTCTTCACCCCGAAGAAAACTGATGATTCCACGCCCAGGCTGTTTAGTCTTCGCTTCACCAAGTCAAGCAGGCTTTTCAACCTTCAGCAGCCGTTCTAGACGAATGCGATATTTTCCGTGCTCAGTCTCGGTGCAACCGTGCAACTAGTACTTTGTAGAGTAGTCCGACAGAGTTGAGATCCTCCGACCTCCGTGCAACAACAATGGAAGCCATCCACCTTGCCTATGTGCTCGTCTTCCTCTTGCCCGTCGTCTTCCTCCTCCGTCTCCGGCGCCGCGGGCCTCCTCCAGCCAAGTGGCCAGCAACAACGACGGCCCACTGCCCGCACCCCAACCCGGTCCTGGGCAACACCCTCGACTTCATCCGCAACCGCCACCGCTTCTTCGACTGGTACACGGACCTGCTCCGCGCCGCGCCGTCGGGGGCCGCCATCGAGGCGTGGGGGCCCCTGGGCGCGGGCCACGCCGTCACCACCGCGAGCCCGGCCGACGTCGACCACCTCCTGCGCGCCGGCTTCGATGGGTACGCCAGGGGCGCGCTCTTCCGCGACGCCACCGCCGAGCTCATCGGCGACGGGCTCTTCGCCGCCGACGGCCGCCTCTGAAGCCTCCAGCGGAAGCTGGCGTCGCACGCCTTCTCGTCCCGCTCGCTCCGCCGGTTCACTGACGGCGTCCTCGACGTGCACCTGCGCCGCCGCTTCCTGCCGCTCCTGGACGACGCCGCCTCGAGGGACGGCGGGGCCATCGACCTGCAGGACGCGCTGCGCCGGTTCGGGTTCCGCACCATCTGCCACGTCGCGTTCGGCGTAGAGAGCGTGGACGGCGGCGATGACGACCCCGCGACGCAGGAGGCGCTCTTCGCGGCGTTTGACATGGCCGTTGCGATCTCCTTCCGGCGCGCACTCACGCCGGCCACGTTCGTGCGGCGGCTCACCAAGCTCCTCGACATTGGCAAGTCGCGCCGGCTCCAGGAGGCCGTCCATGTCATCGACGCCTACGCCATGTCCGTCGTCGAATCGAAGGCGGCGGCGTGTCACAGGAACGGTGTCGACGACGGGAGCGTGGACTTGCTGTCGCGGTTCATGGCGGCCATGGACGACGACGGCGGCAGCGGCGGAAGCGAGCTCGGCGCCATGTTCCCCACGCCAGCGGCCAAGCTCCGGTTCTTGCGGGACGTGGTCGTCGCCTTCGTGCTCGTCGGGAAGGACACGACGTCGTCGGCGCTGACCTGGTTCTTCTGGCTGCTCGTCGCGAACCCGCGGTGCGAGCGGCGCGCGCACAAGGAGGCCGCATCATTATCGTGCGATGACGACGGCGAGGTGAAGGGGGATGCACTACCTGCACGCCGCCATCACCGAGGCGATGCGGCTGTACCCGCCGGTGCCGTTCAACGGCCGGGTCGCGGTGCGCGACGACGTGCTGCCGAGCGGCGCGGCGCTGCGAGCGGGCTGGTACGCCAACTACTCGGCGTACGCGATGGGGCGGATGGAGAAGCTGTGGGGCGAGGACTGCTTGGAGTTCGTGCCGGAGCGGTGGCTCGGCGAGCGCGGCGAGTTCGTGCCGGTCGACGCCGCGCGGTACCCGGTGTTCCACGCTGGGCCGCGGGTGTGCCTCGGCAAGGAGATGGCGTACGTGCAGATGAAGACGGTCGCCGCGGCCGTACTCCGGAGGTTTAGGGTCGACGTGGTGGCGCCGGTGGCTAGCATGGAGGCGCCGCCGGCGTACGAGATGACGGCGACGATGAAGATGAAAGGAGGGCTGTTGGTGCGGCTCAGGAGGCGGGAAGAATAGTCCTGAGTCGTGACAGACTAGTGATGCTTGTTGTTCTTCCTTGACACGTGAATTGTTTGGAAAAAGACTGCGTAAAAGTCATCACACCACAAAAAAGACAGAGTCCCGTCTGATGTTTGAAATAGCCGGATACAGTCACCGCTATAGCTGGATTTAGCCTCTGAAAACCCTGATGCTAAGGTAATCCACATTTAGCGCTAAATTATTCTTGCCGCTACTAGCTGGAAACCAGTTTAATCTAGGAAGTGTATGCAGTTGCAGTTATGAATATGAATGAATCGCAGCTCAAAGAGAGGAAAACCGGAGTGGCACCGCAAAAAGTCAAAATGATGGACTCACTCACAAAAAGTTAAAATGATGAACTCACATGATACGCAAAATTAAATAGGAGGAAGGTTATCAGAGTAGAAAATGATAGATGGTACTTGTGATGAACAAAACCACAGTTCAGCAGCTGAAATAGCACGACGGAAGACATTCCACCCTTAATAGCTCAATATGACATCGTAGTCTGATGGGACAAATATCTCATGACAAGCAAAGCATAGCCCGTGTTTAGTTCCAAAAGAACTTCTAAAAAAGTGCTACAGTAGCTATCATATTGAATCTTGCGATACGTGCAGTATTAAATATAGACGAAAAAAAAACTAATTGCACAGTTTGGTTGGAAATCGCAAGACAAACGTTTTGAGCCTAATTAATCCATGATTAAACACTAATTACCAAATAAAAACTAAAGTGCTACAGTAGCCAAATTCCAAAATTCTCCCCAACTAAACACGGACACGGGCATAGTACTCTGTATATGTTTTGCCTGGAACCAGCATAACGTGGCACACCCTACTACTGTCTTCAGAATGCCAAGTCCGAAAATATGAAAAGACAAGTTCAGCACTTCTGCATTAACTCCTACGGAACAAAGAGCTTAGCGATGGCGCTAGTAACCCAAAAACCAAAGAGGTGAGCTGATTTGCGTCACTGTTATCGTTCTCTCACTGGTCAACAACCTGAATCACAAAGAAGAAATAATTGTTAGCACAATTCCAGCTGCCTAGGAATCAAACAGATTGGATTTTGACGATAAAGTAACAGGTGTAATTGGTAAATAAGCCAACCTGGCTTGCAACCAGAAAATGGATCCTAGATAGTATATGTGAAAGTGCCTAATAGCGTTCACAGTATACTTTCATAGGTCTAGAGGTTTTTCTAGTAACTCATTTCATCAACAGAAATTCATGCAAAGATAAGAGAATAAAACCATCTAAGTAACCAAATTGATAAAATAGTCAAATCCCAGCACCATTGCCCTAATCAATTGCAAAGATAAGAGAATTGAACTGTAACTCTTGTTAAAATTGAAGGAGCAATCAGTCATAGCTTAAGAATCATCAAATTGGTACGTATATTCTTTAGTTTTGTGTAAAGACCTTCAATTTCTCAGTTGCATCTCAAAATGGGCATTGTTGAGCTAACTTTCTGAAATAAGATCCAAAAGAAGGCAAACAAAAACACAATAAGGTATAAAATGGAAGGATTCACAATTATTGTAGCTAACTATTATCAAACGCTAAGGTGGCAATATATCCTTGATTATAATTAATGACAGCAATTATTAAATGCTAGGTGACAATGATTAACATATCAACACGTAATTTTTATACGTACAAAAGTTACAAAAGTACCGTTTCAAACTATAAAACTCCTGAAAATACACAAGTACTACTATCTGGCAGATTTCAGACGGGAGTTGAAACTATGCTAGTAAATATATAAAGTTGGCAAGACTGAAACAGGTCTAAAAGATAGTAATCTATTCTAGCAATTCTAAAGAATATAAAGTTTGGTAGGTTGTGTTTATTAAATATTGTGAAATTTGGTTAACTAAATTAGCATAAGCAAAGAGGCTCAGTTGTAGATTTAAACTAAACCTAGACCTCATCAAACTAAAAATTTCGAAACCACTATTTAAGCAACAGAGCAAACAAACTAAAAACAGCAACTCCTTGGATTCAAGCAACAATCAAACAGATCTGCAGAATCAAAACCTAGACTAAAAGCTATTAGTAGTAAGCATAGAACTTCTTTTTGTTTGGAAAACCCAAATCTAAGGAACAAAACTGCTATGTAAAAGCAAAGTATTAACAGGTTCGTAAACACAAAACAAAGACATTAAAAGCATTTTGTTTGTTCAAAATATAACACAGACTACCAAAGCCACTGCAAGGTACATTAACATATCAAATGTAGGATCATCAAGTATCCTACTAATAGGTGCCTAGAAAATACATTAGATCATTGGATGACATATTGGCTCCTACTACACAAAGATCTGTCACCACATTTATGTAGCCAGTAGATCATAACCATCAGAATGAAGGGAATATGCCAGTGCCTTCCACTGCAGTCTGCAACCAGCTTACACACCCAGGACACAAACACATAAAAAATTGATCTCTATTTGATCAAGGAACTTCACATAAACAAGTGACATGAACATGTAAGCCAAGGAATGTCTCAGCAAGAAATCAACGAGGAACACTGGCATCAAGAACAAGGAGTTGGCATAGATGGGGCCCCATGCTTGTCGTGGAGTTCTACAGGATGTGAAGTTTCAATTGTAGTATTCCTTTGTGTTAACACTCAGGTTTAGTATCTAGACACATAAGGTATAATATATAACCCATAAAAGGCTCAATTGCACAAGTGCAAGTTGCAACAAAGCCTGAAGTACATGAAACTCAAAATTTGTGAAGTTAAGTTGACAACTGAGAAATGAAATAACCAAAGCAGTTCCTTAAATACATAGCCTTTCAGTCCCAAGCAAGTTGGGGTAGGCTAAGTTCCTTAAATTCACACATAATAACAATTATTACCAGCAATTCAAAAGGAAGTCAATGTGGAGTGTCGAATAATACTGCGATGTCCAACACAAACTTCTAATTTGGTACCTAAGTATATAGAACTTATTGAGAAATTAGTTTGTACCAAATATAGGTATATACCACATCCTACAGCTACCGGAGGGAACACAATTCACCAAACTGATGACCATCAAGCTTTCTACAACTATGTGCTAATTTCCATGTTCTAAAATTTTGTGAGAGAGAGTAATAACTGTATAACAAATCCAAAAAGAAAAGGATATGCTCCCTCTACTTCTACAAGATGCTATGACAAAATATGCATGCATCAGAGCATACAGACAATCATAAAGAAGAATAATTAATGGAGCATTTGATCAAGCAAAACTTCTTATAAACAAAGGTATGGAAATCACCAGAAAGTCAGTTTCTTGGAGCGAGGAACTCAGGCGGCCAGGCCAAGGTGTAGGCAAGTTGGAGCGCTTGGTGATGAAAGATGGCAAGGAGCTTGCCGGTGTCCAGATGGAACGAGTAGCGCCCATATCCCTATGTAATGATGAACACCTTTCCGGTGCAAGCGTAGTCCATGTCGCTGAGCCAGGTGCAAATCATCCGCATCATTTTGTCCTTGGGTAGCTCCGGCGCGGTGTCGAGCAGTTTGGTCATGCAAATCTCCCTCTCCAGCAACCACCCCCTGTCGCTCCACCTGGCCTCTCCACGCACCCAGTGTTAGAATTGATCTCATCCGTCTTGACCCAACGGTCGAGACGGACCCCTTGACCGCGTCCTGATCAGGGACATCCAGCCATCTAGTGGTTGGTGGGCCCCCGTCGCACAGTGCCTATAAAGAGGAGGTGGGGCAAACGGCTCTTAACACGAGGTTCACCGCCGCCACAGCCCCACTGTCCTAACCCTAATCCGATCCAGAGGGTGGCACTGCCAGCGGCGGGAAGCACCACCGGACCGCCGTAGCTCCACCCCACCGGGACTCCGCCACCTCTACACCGTCACTGCCACACTGCCACTGACACCGACGCCATGGAATCCTCGAGCTCGTTCACCAAGCCCGACAGTCTGTACCTCTCTCTTTCTCCTCTCTCACTCTCTCTAGATCCATGTGTTCTAGTTCTTTCATAACGAATGGAAGTTAAAATACCCACTGATCTACTCCTAGTCGATCCAAAAGTGTTAACAATGGTATCAAAGCCGATCAAAATGAATGGCCACGATCAAAATGACTAGGGTTTGGGGAGGGGCGACCGGCGGGCGGGGTTTTGATCCCGCGGAAGTCACGCATGGCCGTCCGATCAAAATGAATGGCCTTTCACGGGCTGAATGAGGCCCAAAGGGAAGATTTAATTCCCGGCCAGGCCCAAAGTTGCGGCATGGGCACGGGAGAGCAACACGCACGCAATTTGGGTTCTTTGGGCGCTGCTGGCAGCGCGAGCCTTCGAAGCGAGAAGGCTTCAGCCAGCCCGATTATTCTATCACTGCAGCAGCCGGGCCGTAAGAATAGTAAATGATGTTTTGAAGTCTATTTATTTTCAGAAGCATATTTGAACGAATTTTGATCAATTTGAAGGTTTAAATTTCTGGTAAAATTGCACCAACGTGTTAGATTTTTCAGAGAGTAGAAAAGTACAGTAAAATGCTTCTGAAAAGTATATAAAGAAATTTTGTCAAGTTTCCGCTGCAAAGTTAAAGATGTTGTCTTTATATTAAATTCGAACCAACGGGAGAATTTAATTTGAAGAGCAGTTATAGTTATTCGGTAAATGATGAAAAGTTTATCCTCCAGTTAAAATTGGAACCAACTGAAAAAAAATTAATTGGAGAAATAGTCGGTTGATAGTTAAGATAAATTATAATATTGTTATTTTCTTACCAACGTTGATGATAACAATATTATAAATTTATTTATGTGTTTAAGTTTAAAGTTAAATTATGGTATTGTTATTTTCTGACCAACGTTGATGATAACAATATTATAATTTTATGAGTTTTATGTTTAAAGTTTAAATCTCTGATGAATTTTGCATCAAAATGACCAATTTTTCAGAGAAAAGATAAAGATCAAGGAATGCTTTTAAACTAGAGAAATGTATTTTTATGTTTCCGCTGCAATGAAGTTGATTGTCTTCTAATTAAATTCGAACCAACGGGAGAATTTAATTTTGAGGAGTAGTTCTATGTTTTCAAAATTATTGAATTTCTATACGTTAATTCCATTTCTGCCCAACGGTGATGTGAAATTAATGTAGAAGAATGGTGTTTTATTCTATTTCTGCCCAACGGTGATATAGAATAGAACATAAAGATTTCAAAGTTTAATGAGCATTATTGTTGAATATTTTTTCAGACAAAAGACCTCCATGCTTTCATTCTTGAAGGCAGTAAGAGAAATGAGCTGGGTACTTATGACTCAGATGATGAAATGCCTAAGGGCAAGTTATGTATGAAAGAATGCAATTGTTTAAGAAACTGTGTTCTCTTTAAAGAATGGCTTCAAAAGAAAAGGATTATACGATATTGATCCAAGAAAAGAGATAGATCAATGAGAGTCTTCGTTGAGAAATGTCTTTTATGTACTCTCTGTGAAGAAGAACTTATTTTCAGTTTCACTTATGAGAGTTGTAAAATTCATATACATGGATTAAACATGTGTGTTAAAAGAATATTCGGATTTATTTATGAATTTGATGATTGAACATGAGCCAATCCTGGCAATTATGTCCGTTCAAGGGAATTATCTCGCATGGCGGGAAAAGGTTGTGACAGTACCCGCATGGCGAGAAAAGATTGAGAAAATACCCGCATGGCGGGGTAAAGTTGGCATAGTACATATGTTAACCAATCATGCATGGCGGGAGAGTTTTGGCATAGTACTTATCCCACATGGCGGAAGAAGGATGTGATGACTCATGTGCTCTAAGTGTATCCCGCACATGGAGAGAAGTTTGAGGTAGCTTTTATGCTATCCTAGTATTGACCGTACACTCTGATTGTGTCATGGTCATTAAGTACTCAATGAGTTTAAGAACAAAAGAAAGTTGCATGTGAACCAAAAGATAAGAATGATATGCAAGCATGACTTACAGAAGTATTGATAATAATAGACTATGTTGAGTTTTGAAGTGTAATGATAAAAATGTACTCCCATACGAATTTTGTTTGCATGATGTAATCATGTGGATGAAGTAAGTAATCAAAGTTTCCTCATTCACAAGAGTTCTGAATGTTTCAAAATTGTGGTAGAAAAGTTCATACCACATTTCGAGGGGGAGAAAATGTAAGATTAATTAAGAAAGACAATTAAGAAAGATACTTCCCCATACTTTAGATAATGCAATGCATACTATGCATTGAAGGTAAAAGTGATCTATAAAAGATGATTGTGATCGTTGAGGGAGTAAGACGGTCATAATAACGATACCCCTAAAGTAAAGAAATAGCTAAATTCCTAGACCTTTTTATAGTTCCGATAGGAAGATAGCATAGTCGGCTAGTATTTATACTTGACGAGTTCAGAGTTATCAAGGCGGTGCTAAACGCGCCATATGAATTTTTAGCAGATTAAACCCAAAATAAGAAATTTGAAGATACACCATCTTTACAGAAGATGGAGTAATCTGGGGGAGCATGGTATGTAGATACCTAAGGCTTGAATAGAAGTGGGATTACATATCCACTACAGTGTTTTTTAGAGCAACAAATTGCTTAATACATGTTGATGTTGTATGGATATACAACACCTGATGTTAGCTCTTAAAGAAGATGAATAAGTAAATAAGGATCTTATAATATAGAAGGCTATAGAACAATTGCATTTTGGCAATGAAGAGTAACAATAGCCCATATGAAAGAAGTGCCACGAGGCCCCAGAAGGTCTCAAAGAATAAGAAAATCAGATATTTCTGGTGACTAAGAAGTCAATGTTAAGAAAGAAATTCAAATAGAGGATAATTCCACCTCATTTGAAAAAGCCATGAGAGGCGTTCACTCGTCTAAATGGCAAGAAGAAAAGGAAGATGAAATGGAATCGATAAATACCAACGATGTTTGGGACTTAGAAGTAATTTCCAATGGAGCCAACACAGTAGGCTGTAATGGGTCTACAAGACAAATGTGACTCCAAAGGAAATATGAAAAGCTATAAAGCGCCACTTGTGACGAAATGATTTACACAAAGAGAAGAAATAGATTATAATAAGCTTGCAAGGATTCTTTTAGAATCATAATGGTATTAGTGGCACATTACGATTTACAGTTACATCAGAAGGATGTAAAGACACATTCCTCAACGAGGATTTGTATGGAAAAGTTTACATGGCATAACTCAAAAGGTTTTGTCGTGGAAGGAAAAGAACGTAAAGGGATGTTGCCTAAAGAAATCTATTTATGGATTAAAGCAAGCTTCAAGACAGTGGTTCTTGAAGTTTGACAGTACAATAAGAAAGTTTGGGTTTTAAAGAGAATGTAGAGGACAATTGTATTTATGCAAAGTTTAAACATGGAAAATTTATTTTCCTAATCCTGCATGTGGGTAGCACCTTACTCGCTAATAGTGGTGTTAATCTATTGTTGGAGAAGAAACAGATCTTGTCCTCAAATTTCAATGAGAATAATCTTGGTAAAGCGTCATTCGTTCCAGGAATTGGAACTTACCGAGATAAAAGGAAAAGGGGTATTAGAACTATCTCAAGTGTATACTTAGAGAAGATTTTAAAGAAATAAAGTATATATGAGCATATACCTGCGCCTGTTCCTATAGTCAAGGGTAATAGTTTTCAGAACTTTCAGTGTTCCAAGAATAAATGTGAGATCGATCAAATGGACGTCCTATATGCTTCAGCTATTGGAAGCTTACTGAATGCTTATAAGCAAGAACTTACCCTGACACAGTTTATGTATCCGGGATGTTTTTGACAGAAGTCCAATCCAGATATAGATCACTGGAATGGAGTTGAGAATGTTTTGCAATTGTGCAAAGATTTATAGGCCTCATGGTGAGTAAGAAAGAATAAGTACTCTAAAATAGTTGTGGGTATAAAAGTTAAATTTTGGCGAGATGTTTAGTGAAACCTACATAGTAGCTAACACTCGCAGTTGGAGTTTTATTGTGGAAAAGCTCCAAAGAAACAATTATGGTGTCATCAAAGATGCATACCCATGGTATAGCTTGTTACGAGGCTTAAGGACAGGCGAAATGGTTAAAAGAACTTACACCCGGAATTAATAAGGGATCCCAATTAATAATGGTATACAACAGCAATAACCATTTAAGAAGTTCGTTCCTATAACAACGGGCCAAGTGTGCTGCCAAACACATTGACGTTAAAGTTATACGTTGTGAAGGAGAAAGTCCGGAATCATACTGAAAGTATTGAACATAAAAGTAACAAGCAAGTGCTTGCAGATCCGCGTATAAAAGGCTTACCACCCAGTGTGTTTGAAGAACACACAGTCGACATGGGTTTATGGTATAACCTATGATTTTCGGATAATAAAGGGCCCAAAAGTTAAAGAATCTGTTTCAGAACAGAGACGTGTATTGTAGCTGTTAAGTCTATCGGCGATTGACCGTGACGATGAAGCATGCTCTATGCACTAATCCGTGATGGAATAAATAAAAGTGAAAGGGATTAAAGTCAAAGTTTAAAGTTAAAGTATGAGTTGAGATCAAGGTGAAGAATGTTAGAATTGATCTCATCCGTCTTGACCCAATGGTCGAGACGGACCCCTTGACCGCGTCCTGATCGGGGACGTCCAGCCATCTAGTGGTTGATGGGCCCCCGTCGCATAGTGCCTATAAAGAGGAGGTGGGACAAACGGCTCTTAACACGAGGTTCACCGCCGCCACAACCCCACTGTCCTAACCATAATCCGATCTAGAGGGTGGCACTGCCAGCGGCGAGAAGCACCACCGGACCACCACCCCACCGGGACCCCGCCACCTCTACACCGTCACTGCCACACTGCCACTGACACCGACGCCATGTACTCCTCGAGCTCGTCCACCAAGCCCGACGGTCTGTACCTCTCTCTTTCTCCTCTCTCACTCTCTCTGGATCCATGTGTTCTAGTTCTTTCATAACGAATGGAAGTTAAAATACCTGATCTACTCCAAGTTGATCCAAAAGTGTTAACACCCATGTCTGCAGCTCTTCGTGCACGATCGATGCCATGCACAGACGGCCGTCCTCCGGCGTGATGCGGTACTTTTTGAAGTGATCTCCCAGGACGGCAGGTACGGGCATGAACGAGAAGTCCAGCGTGCAAGGATCCAGCTGGAGTAAGCGGCTGGAGTTGCAGATGTGCCAGTAGATGTTCCCCCAGCGGCTTGCACGCAGCGGTCCTCGAACCACCACGGGTCGAAGTCCACGACGATCCCCTCGGCCCTCGGCAACGCGCGCCAGGTGCAGTTGCCTTCGCGGACGGACTCAACCCAGGCGCGCGGGAGGTCGCCGTCGACGGTGAGGCAGACGGCGTCGAAGGTGAGCCTGCTAGGGTGCGCGCACCCGAGAACGGCGACGCCGATGACGCACCTGTCGCGGCGCCAGCGATCGTTAGGCTCAGGCAGCGCGTCGCGCGGTGGCGGCGGGAGCAGGACGCGGCGGGGCGACGCCGGGTCGAGGAGGAAGACGAGGCCGAGGATGCCCCGCAGGAGCGACTTGGGGTGCGAGGAGAGACGAGGGAGGAGTCGAGGCATCGAAGAGAGAAAGACGAGGTGGACGTCCTGGATGGAGGAGGAGCTGGCAGGCCGAGGTGAGGTGAGGAGAGGCGCCGAGGGAGAGGCGCGGGGAGGAGGCGTCGAGCGGGAGAATGACGGCGGGGTGGTGGGTCTTGTCCGACGTCGGCATGGGGGGCGGCTTGGAGGGGCCCTTGGGGTGGAAGAAGTAGCCGAGGAGGGGCGGCACGCGAGGGAGGGCGCGGGTGGCGGCGCGGCGCCAGCGGTGGCAGGCGAGCGCCGCGCGGAGGAGGTTGGCGGGGGTGAGGTGGAGGAGGATGGCCTGGAGGTCGAGGTCCGTGAGGTCGGCGACCCTCGTCGTCGTCTTCACCATCGCCACCGGCGCAGGCGCCAACGCCGGGGGGGGAGGGAAAGCGGCAGCGGAGGACGCTAGGGTTTGGTCCTCGCTGCCTCTGCAGCTGCTTTGGGGCGCCATGAGTGATAAGACGAGATACCGAGAGTCCGACCGAGACGAGGCGACCGAGAGTGGAGGCAGCTGACAGAAGTAGGAGGTCACACTCACACCGAGAAGACCGGCGACAGAACAATAGTGTTTTCCTCTCTCAAACCAACTGACCGCCAAACCAAACCAGCCGAGAACTAACTTTTCGTATGTTCGCTTCAGGCTTTCAGGGGTCCAGAGCCTACCAGGCTTTTTGAATTTTGATTGACCGAGAGCCCAGACAGAACCAGGAGGCTTCTCCCTAACGACGATCTCATAAAAACTGTACTTTGAAAATATGCTAAATTATTTGGTTTTGCAAATATTACTTCCTCGGCCCGGGCAAGAATACAACTTTAAGGTCTAGTTTTTGTCCAACAAAAAATGCTATTCTAGCCATTTTTACAGGTGTGCAAGGTGGGTTCTATTGGACCACCCATTCCTATTCATTAAGCCTGGGTAAAATACCCGATACTCATTTCCCGAAGCCAAAATACCCGAACCCGCACTACCCGATCTAGAATTTGGATACTGATTCTTATTACCCGATATTATTTCGGATAATACCTCGCGGTACTCGAAGTCCCGAACTACCCGAACACTGAGTCCCCACTCGCCAGACACCAGAGGCGCGCCCGAGCCCAACAGCCAACAGGCCAACATCCTCGGATCCCCAGCAGTCCGCGACCGCAACCCCCACTCCCTCACCCTGTCTCGCTCCCTCAATCCCTCATCCTGTCTCGGACTCTCCCGAAAACCTAGCCGCCACCTCTAGGTTCCATCGCTCCAGTCCAACGAAGCGGCGTCGGCGTGGGGTTGTCAAGGAATCGCGCCGCGCGTGGACGGCGCTCTCACCCGCGTGCCTGCCGCCCTCTGCCCCTCTCTCACTTCGTCTCCGACGCGCGCTAGGCGGTCAGGCCACCGCGCGCCGCCCTCTGCCCCTCTCTCACTCCGTCTCCGATGGGCGGGCGCCCGCCGAGAGTGGCCGCCCGCACCTGCCGAGAGCGACCTCATGCCGCCCCCATGCGGCCGAGCCCCGCCCGATGCCTCGACACGCGAGAAAGCTACGTGTGCTTCTACGTCCCCAGCGTCTAAATCTCGGGTAGATTGGGTATACCCGAACCTGAACCCGAAATATCGGGTAGTGTTTTTTCGGGTTGAATATCGGGTATCGATTCCTATTACCTGAATTTTAGAATACCCGAACTACTCGACCCTAAAATTTCGCCTAGGCTTACTATTCATGGTACTATTCTACACCTTGGCTCTGTTCTGCAGCACTGCTTCAGCAGTACTTTTTAGCGAATGAAGAGTGTTTTCTTCTTACAACGAATTAGCATAAGCCAAATTTCAGCGAAATGAACGGTTGAAGTGCACGTAGTGAATCAGTGAGGACAAGATGACAGTTAGAAGGGTACATGTGTATTTTAACATCCACACTAAATTTACATTGGGTTCCAGCAGTTGCATCCTTAGCCGAACAGAGGGAGTATTTAGTTTTCTCAAAAGTCAGCCTGTTCGGTTGGCTGGTTCGTTTCGTTGCTGGTTCATGAAGAAGTATGCTGGCTGATTTGTGTGAGAAAAAATACTGTTCCGACTAAAAATTTACGATCGTTTACGACAAGCCACAGCCAAACGAACAACTGAGTCTATTATACTCAGTACCAATTGCCCCACCTATTCATTTAACTTTGCAAAATATATTGCGGAGCCGAGCACTCGAGGTTGTTTCATTGGACATTTTCACCAAAAATAGACAGAGGAGCAATAATAGACTTTGCTTAGTCACAGTTGTTCACTTGTGTCCACGTTCCCTGTTTTTTCACCTGACTGACTGAAAATCTTATAAGAAATTAGCTACGTGTGATTGCAGAGGCCGAAAACTTTTTCCATTATCTAAAATACTTAGCTATGCTCGGTATATCGTGTATCTGACAGTGCCTTAACTCCTACTAGATCCGTTCCAAAATATAAGATGTTTTGACTTTTTGGATACATTGTTTTTACTATATATCTAGATATAGTGTATATCTATGTGCATAGCAAATGCAATGTATCTAGAAAAGACAAAACGTCTTATAATTTGGAACGGAGGGAGTACTAAATTAAATGTTTACTGGGAAAAAACTGGTGAAAAATAACTGAAACTGAATGGACTTATCTAAATGTAACAAAAATGACCAGGTACATAAATGTGCAGCAGACAATAAATAGATTGGTTTGAGAGAAGAAAAAAAAACCCTAAAAGGAGATAGGAACCCTACTGAATGGACTGAATTTGAATATAAAAGGATTGTTTTTTTATTTTAGCGTTGAATGTGAATGGACTGAATCTGTCTGGAAAAGAAGGTTCGGTAGAAAAATCTGGTTAAAAACAGCTGCGTAGAAAAATGGCAAGGACAACAACATCACCGGAGGAAAATCAGATCAGACAGAGATATTTGGGCGCGATTCAGATGTGAAGAGCAAACATGCTTTGACTGAGAACGAGGCACATAAACTGGGATGAGAATGAGATTGAGACGTTCTTAGATAATGGAATAATCACTCCACCATGACAGGAATGAGCTTACGAAACAAACTGACTCCAAACTCAATTCCGAAAATAAAAGAACATCTATAGAACGTGAAAAAACATATTGCCGCATTTTCCAACTTGCGGCAAGCCTCTAACACCGCATTCTCCAATAGGATGAGATTGAGATGTAGATCAACAAAAACTTGGTAGTCGTCGGCCTCCAGTGCAAGAAGAAAGGGTTGGGGAAGGGGAAGGCAGAAGGCAGTGTCGGGTGGGTCTACAAGGGTGCGGTTAGCAAGGTGAGAGAAAAAATGGCTTGGCTAGCGTCCGAACGTTTGGACGAACGCGTGCGTCCGGATGCCCGCGTAGCCCGCTTCAGTTCGCCATCGCCCCTCCCTCGTTCGGATTCGCCCCGCCCTACGCGCGCAGTCCACCCCTGTATCTGTGCCCGCCAGTTATTCCCTGGACTCGCTCTTCTCTCTCCGCGCGGGCAACACTCGAGAGTCGGGACCCGATGTGCCCTAGACCGGAGCACCCGTCTGCCCTCCCCCAGCGCCCCGTATGCACCCCTTTGGTGCGCCGAGCGCCCCGTCCTCCTGCCCTCCCCCCCCCCCTCGCGCGGCTCGCCCCCAGCCAAACAACATAAAACACTTGCGACATAAATTTTTTTTTGAATGCAACATCATTCTGAAAACAGATGAAACACTTGTACATGCACTTGCAACATGTGTGTGGAACACATGAAACATAAAAAAATAGCACTTGCAGCTTGCAATATGAAACCACTTGCTACAACATAAGACTGAAACAGCTGAAATATTTTGGAACATACTGTTGCAACATATGCATGAAAAATATGTAACATCCATATCAAAAAATGATTGCAACATATGTTTAGAAACAGATGAAACATTTTGAACAAATGCTTGCAACATGCATCTGAAACACTTGCAACATGTGCAACATTCCCCGATCTACGTTTGCAACATCAAAATAGAATAATTGCAACATACATCTGAAACGTCTGAAATAATTGAAACATACATATGCAACATAGGGGAGAGAAAGGCTGGGGCCGATCGATTCCAGCTGCCGGGGTTGGAGCCGGCAGCGAGTGGCGATGCGCGACCACCACCGCCACTAGTAGCGGTCTTGGCTCGGCCGGGCGGGCGCACTAGCCCCAAGATGCATGCCACCTTTCACCAGCACTACAAGCACCGGTCTTGTCTCGGCCGGTGGGCGTGGGCGACGACGCGGAGTGAGTACCACCACCAAAGACCAGTCGTCTCGAGGGAGGGAAGAAGCGCTCGCGATAAGAAGCGAAAGGCCTTCGATGGGATAAGAGCGTGGCGCAGCGAGCGAGAGTGACATTCGCATTCAGGACGGGACGGACGGAGTGACAACGGGAAGGCGATAGGGTGGAGAGTGTGGCAGAACCTCCTAAGAAATCGGGCCCACGTGCACCTATCGATGTCTCAACAGACCTCAGATAGCGTACACAAGTTCCCAACAACTTAACAGGTCCGTCGGGTGTCCTCGGGAAACCCGAATCATCCACGTTTCAAACAGGATCCCAATCACAGTCATTGCAGAATACAACATTTTTCAATATACATACCAGAGGTAATAAAGCAGAAGACTTAAGTTTAATATTACAAACCAGTTGTTTCAAACTTACATAACCATAAGTGTCATACAACCATAGTAGCGGGATAATATTACATTAACATTATTTATTTCACACAAACTAGTGCCTTGTCCAAAGGCCATTCATCATTCCTCATCGTCATCGACTTCATACACTGACATGCAGCAGGGACCAAAACAAGCCTGCGCATGCGACTCACCTGCAACAAGGGTTAACAAACCCTTAGTACAAAAGTACTCAACAAGACTGACCCGACCAAAAAAGGATGAAGGTCTTAGGGATGCAGGTGTTGGGTCAAGGTAAGGATGTAGAAAGATTTAAAAGTTCTTTGCCAAAAGCGTACTATTCTTGATCCTATTTTCAAGTTTTTCCCCTAAGTACTTTAGTTCAATATCTCAAACTAAGTGTTCATATCCCATGTTCCAATCCTTCTCATTCCATTTCTTTTCTCAAGTTTTAGTAATTCACCAGTCCTACATTGCTTCTGTAATGAATCGAGTCTCCATATCCGCGGAGCACCGGCAATTCGAATTGATTCAAGTCCCAGCTGGGGATTCCTTATCACACGACATATGTAGAACTTAATCTTGCATATATCAACCTCGCTACCGGATCCTCCCGTACTAAGCCATCTCCACGCCACCCGAGAGCACAGCCAACCTCAAATCCGGCCACATTCAAGCCACGAGGGTACACGCTACTCCCACCATCTCACCACTCCCAGTG